TTCATGCCAGAAAACCGCAATCTGGGGTAGCAACCTCAATCTCCGAGCTACCTCGGTGGAAAAAAGAAGGGGGCCGGGTACCGCCCCAAAGCATACCCCCTTTTAGCCCCCCCCCCGGAAACCGAAAGGTGGCTTTCCCGAGATACCCCGTCGCCAAAAACACCCAAAGCTACTCGGGATAAAGGGGGAGGGATCGGGACATCCCTAGGCAATCCGATTCCCCCGGGAAACTACGCCACCGCCCAAGAAACCTCAAAGGAATGGGAGGACCCCCCGGTGTCCTTTCCCCCACCTAGGAAAATGCGCGTGTGGGGAGAAATCAGAAGGCTAAAAAGAGGAAAGGGGAAAAGGGAGGGGTGAGGGGGAGGAGGAGGAATGGGGGAAAAAAAAGGGGGGATGGGAAATTTTGGGGAGGGGAGAATGGGGGGTAATTAGGTTCGGTCTGAGGAAGAAAACCACGGGGAATTCCCAGACCCAAAACCTCTTCACCACGCCAAGGAGCCCCCCCTTTAAAAAGGGGGACAAGAGGAACCACCAAGGCAGCATTTGAGAATGCCCCCCTGAGGGTTTGGGTATAGAATGAAAGCTGCGGTTTTAAAATGACGTCGAGAAGAGGTGTAGGAGCTCATCATGGAGGGTGAAGAAGGAACCTCATAAAAGCATGGGTGTGATAAAGATCCCCAAATTTCCCATCAAATTTCCACGGGGCTACGGAAAAAAAAATGGGAATAGGAAAAAAGTAAAAATGTTTTGGGAAAAAGATCGCTGCATGTAACCGGTAGAAAGACCAGGTGAAGTTTAGTGCGTGGGGGAAGAGCAGATGATAGATCGATGAAAAGAGAGTAGGTACGAGGATCAAAATGGGGGGGAGTACCCGTATTTAAAAAAATGGGGGGGTGAGGGCGGAAAAGCTCCCAAATGGGTGCCCGTGAAAACCAATGAGACCCCCCCCCCCGAGGAAATGGGGGCATTAAAAACACCAAGTAAACAGAAGTGGTGGTGGTAAGGGTGAAACAAAAAAGCAAAGTCTGGGGTGAAAAGCTAGAGAAAGAGAGATTAAAGAAATATTTTAAACCACTTATTCAAGTGGATGGGGTGCAGGTAATGCGCAAAGGGATGGAAAATAGTTGACAGTACGGAAAAATCATTGGTAGAAGAAGGGCACTTTTTTAAGGTCCCATCGAGAAGGATGAAGAAACAATAAATTATCCGAGATAGGTTGGAAAACAGCCGAGGGTTTTAAATTTTGGTTCTTTTAAGCAAGCACCAACAGGGGAAAACCTGGAAAGCAAAATCTGAAGCTCACCCTGATTACCCCTGAGGCTGGGGAAATATTCCACTGTTAAATAGGCCATGATTGGCGATGAAAAAAATACCAGGAATCTGTAGATAAAGGTACCTACGGACTAGAGGGGTTAGAAAAGTCAACTTTGTGGTGGCATTGGAAGATGTTCAAGCAGCGAAGGAACGGAGCGTTGCGAAGAATGGGGTTGTGAAGATGGAGGAGAGGGAAGAGAAGGAACAGGAAGTGAATCGGTGTCCATTGAAGGTTTAGTCTCTGCAATATATTCTGAAATGGCTTCAAGTGTTTCTGAATTCAAAGGTGTATGGGAGACCATATTGGAGATAGGAGGAGGAGGGTGAGTAAAGATTGGGACAGTAATGGACTGTACCAAAGTAGAGGGGGAGGGAAGAGTGTAAGGGACCGGAGATGAAGTGTGGGGGGGGACAGAAGAGGCAGAAACCTGGGAGGTGGCAGAAGAGGGAGAAACTTGGGAGGGGACGGGGGTGGAAGGCATACTACGAGGAGGAGGGTGAATCTCCACCCTGTAATAGAGCCAGAGAGAGGGGAAGAACTAGGTACAGAGACTGGAAAGGTAAAGTGTGGAGGTGGAAGAAGGGAAGGAAGGGGCAAAGATGATTTGAGCAATGTGGATTTTTTGGACTTCTGAGAAGTAGAGGGGCGATTGGTATTAGGTGTCGTACGAGGTCTTGTCGATACTGGCGCTTGTGAGGAAGGACGCAAAGATGTGAGAACAGACCGAGTTGTAGTTGGGACGTCAGAGCCAAGGACAGCAAAAGGATTAGATTCCGGAGTGGCTATGGGAGGGGTAACAACAGAGGAGGCTGCAGAAGATGGGACCCCAGAAGTGGGGGGATGTTTGGAAACACGAGAATAAGAAACACGGGGTAGTCTCCCTTGGAGGCGGAGATGAGTAACTGCCATAGCATAAGGGAGACCTTCTGCCTCTTTGAGGCAATGGATTTCACGTTCATTTAAGTAGACCTGGCAACGGCGGGAGTACGAAGGGTGAGCTTCATTACAATTAAGGCAAGATGGAGGTTGACTGCAAGATGTATTAGAATGGTCGTCGGCACCACAGACTGGGCATTCGGCCATAGATCTGCAATATTTCGCTGGGTGACCAAAACACCAGCAATTTCTACATTGTTGCGGTGTAGGTATCACCTTTCGAACTTGTAACCGATGTCCCGCGACATACACAAAGGACGGGAGTTCTCGGCTGTCAAAAGTTAAACGAGCCACATTGCAAGGGTAACGTCTCCGCCCCGGGCAGGAAGGACATAAGTGTCTACTTTGAGGATTGGGAGATCCTGGAGTTCCAGCTGTTCAAGAATGTCATTGCCACATGACTGGAAATTCTGTTGGACTATGGTATGAGGCAGAATGACAGTACCACTACAAGAATTGAGAGAAAGATGTTTTTCAATAGTGATAGGAGTAGTATCGATATTCGAAAGGAGAGAAAGATCATGAGCTTGGGTAGCATTCTGGACAGTGACGATGCGCGTACCGCTCGAGAGCATGAAATGAAATATCTCTACCAACATGATGCAGGAGCGCTTTGCCAATACTATGGTCAGAAAGGTAGGCAGAAGAAGAAGTCGGTCTTAAAGTAAAGAATTTAGTCCATTGTGTGGTCCGAAACTGAAGGTGGAGAGGGAGTGCTTGACGTGTCGGTCTTTTCCGAGTAGAATGGGAAGGTAACGAAGGAGCATCATCAGGAGATTGACGTTGGCATTTAGGAGTAGGACTGGAGTTGGTCCGGCGTGAAATGGGCGGGCGATTCGAAAATTGCCGTACCGTAGAGGGAGAAGCCAGAAGCATAGTCAAAGGAGAGCGGAGTTCAGACAAATCGAAGGAGTCAGTCGAAGCCCCGGTACCTGAAGCGGGTGAGGAAACAGCACCAGCAAGAGGTACAGGGGCATCAGGAGTGTCCAAAGAGTGGTCTAAACACAAGGCAGGGTCAGAATGGGGTGCGGTATCAAGAAGGGGCCCAGGGGTAGTGGGTTCATGGATTGGGTTCTCCATGGTTAGGTTACTCCTTTGCTTTTTGTTTTTAAGAAAAAAAAGAAAGAAGAAAAGAAAATAAAAATAAAAAAAAAGAATAAAAAAAGGGGGGAGCGGGGAGGAATAGTTCCCAGGAGAAATGAAAGGGCCGGAAATCTCCCTCCGTGCCCAAGAGGACCTCAGCACCGCTAGTAGCGCAGATGCAGCATGGAACCCGTGCCATACCCTACCCTTCATGCCAGTAAACCAGCAATCCGGGATAGCAACCTCACATCTGCGGGGCTACCTCGGTGGACAAAAGAGAGGGCGGCCGGATATCCGCCACAAAGCATACCTCCTTCAGCCACCACCCCCGAATCGAAAGGTGGCTTCCAGAGATACACCCGTCGCCCGAAAGACACCCAAAGCTACTCTGGGATACCGGAGAGGGATCGGGACATCCCCAGGCGATCCAGATTCCACGGCAAACTACGCCACCGCCAAGAACCTCAACGGAATGGGATGGACCCCCGGTGTCCTTTCCCTACCTAGGAACTAGCGCGCCTGTGGGAGAAATCCCAAAGGCCGAAAAGAGGAAGGCAAAGGGAGGGGGGGGGGAGGAGGGGAATGGAAAAAAAGGGGGATGGGATAGGGGAGGGG